TTCGTTCTTTCTGCAGAGTTGTGTATTCTGCGTGTGCCTAATGTGGCCCATTGAAACGTTGTGAATATGCACGTTTTAGTTTAGGTGCTTCAATTAAATTTGTACCAAACAGAAAGATTTGCTGTCGTATCGTAAAAGTTTTTCATGCACTCCACAATTTTGAGATTTGGGGCTTTTTTACTCATCAAGTCTTCTTTCAGGCCAGTGAAAGAAAGAAAACCTCAAATACACTAGTGTTTATACGCTTTTTTATTTGCATGTGTTGCCAGAAATTGCCACATCAGCAGCACTTACATACACTAAATGTTCTAGTTTTATTCCTATTTTGAAGGTTTTTACAAAGGGGTTTCCTCATATATCATTCGCCTGGTTTATTAACTTTTTATTCCTAAAAATGGTGATTTAGATTTTTGGCTGTTGGCAGTATTTTCAGTATTTATAGAGTGATAATAAGAGAATCAAATCTCATCTGTAAAAACCTTTAAATCTAATGTCAACGAAATGAGATAAGAATTTTAACTAATAATGTTCTGATTTCTGTTCTGAAAATGTATGCAAAGTAGTGCACATTTAATTTAGATAATGTCTCGTTTGCATGTAAACATAACATTTCATAACTTAACCATACCTTAAATTACATAGATGCTTCAGACAGTACGAGTGCATTGTATATTCTCCAAACAAGTATATATAACCACCCACACACTGTGTTACGAACTGCTCCGAGACACAAAGGTTGAGATCCAAATGCAGCTTTAATTAGGGGCAATCCAGACACGTAATCTAATAAACAGGCAATAGGTCAAAACACAGGTAAGCAGTCCAAACAAACAAACAAACAAACAAACAAACAAACAAACAAACAAACAAACAAACAAACAGGCAGGGGTCAGAGGCAAAAGAGTAATCCACGGAACAGGCAAGAAATCCAAAAACCAAGAGACATGAAACCAGGGAAAACGCTCAGAAATGCAGTGCAACAACATACAAAACTTTGTAGTGAGTGAATGAGTGAACATGGTATAAATAGGCTGATACTAACAGGGTAATGAGATACAGGTGAATGCAATCAGTGATGAGTCCGGGCAGTGAGTTTTGGGAAATGTAGTTTGTGAGAGTGACAATAGTCCAGGGTGAAGTGCCCTCTGGAGGCTCTCAAGGGCACTCTGGTAACCGTTACACACTGCATATAATGAAGTGTCTGTCTTGCGCTGCTAGTGCTTTTGATTGAGCTCTGCTTCCAGCAGGCACTGAGGTAAAGTCTTAATGAGTTCTGCCCAATGTGGTCTCTTACATCACACAAAGAATCAGTATTACCACTCTTCCAGAGCTTTGTCCTGATACCTCTAGTAAGAGTCTTTATTTTATTTTTCTGTCGGGGCAAATATATAAATATGTGTCTTTGACCGCCTTCTTACAGAAGTATCACTCCCATTATATAGCACAAGCTGATTGGTTCCTGTTGCATCTGCAGCCAATGAGCTTGCTGCTCAACATTTAAATAGTTGGTCAATGTTTGCTGTGTAGAAATTTGCAGCACACTTTCAATGTTCCTCTGAAACCCTTCACCTTCCCCAGCTCCACCTGTACAGATCTGCTACGGGTAATTTCATATATGATATTTGTGCAGCAGCAGCAGCCTTACATGCTCAGAGCAGTGTGTTGTGTATGAATTGGCAGTAGTATGTCTGTATACTTGCTCTCTAGTAGCAGCAGCAATAACTGCATTGCAGCTGATCTATTCCACCGAGAGATGTCATGATAGAAATATGCATGTTTTGATGTTCATGTATTGAGTTTTCCACATGGACTTGACATGGAAACTGATCATATACCCTAAATGAGAATTCTTTAGCAACTCGCCTGTATGTCTACTCACACCACTGAACCTTATTTACATGCACCGACATGTTTGTGAATGCAAATCTTCAGAAACCGACAAATAAAAATGGTTTTCATCTATTTTGATGTGCTCCCCATGGGATGTCTGCGAGAGCCACGTGTAGCAAAGCTCAGCAGCAAATGTGCCTGCTCAGCATTGGTCTGGATAAAGCTTGCATATTCACCCTCATGAATAGGAGATGGGCATGTATGTGGCATCAGCTCCATCATCACTTGCCCATCTTATGCTCCAGAGGTCAACTGAATTCAGCATCTTTAAGTCTATAATGAAATTAAAGCTTTGAAGTTTGTCAAAGTAGATAGATAGATAGATTTTTTCTAGCACTTTGTGTCCCACTAGGACAGGAAATTATGCAACTGTTTTGCTCTAAGCACTCCATGATTCTCAACGTACCACGTTATTCATAATGACGTTTTTGTTCCAAGGTTTCATAACATGCTCCTTAAAAGGATGATGTTAAAATGCTTCATCATGAATTGTGTAATGGTCTGAGTACATGTATTGTAATCTATTGTGATTTCTAAAACTAGAGTGAACTATTCATATTGCATGAAGTGTATTGTGCTTTAAAACACAGTGTTAATCTTACTCTCTTATGAATAACAGAGTATATTAAATGAATTTTGCAGCTTTAGAGAGACCTAAAACATTTCTTGTAATTGCATATTTAGACAAATACAATATAATACTGCCGTTATTTCTTTTATATTATTAATTTATTTTAGAGTATAATGTAATTATTCATATAAAATTAACTTTATTTCGTATTCATGTATTTTAGCATTTTAAATGATTAATATTAGCATGTTCCATTATTAAATTTGATTGCGTATACATTATAGAGTCTGGGGACAGTGTTAGACCAGAGCATTCAAATGCTTCCTATTTGTCTTTGCGATTTCATTCCTTTTTTCATAGTTGATCTTTCTCAGTTTCTCTTTTCTTTCTCATTCGCTCTCTGCAGCCCCCTCTCAAGCAAGTGCCCTGTTTTATATAATTTATTTATTCAAGAACCCCATGGACTCCCCGTGGATCTCTGGCACCACAGATTAAAAATTAATGTTGTGGTTCAAATAAGCCCTGTGTCTGCCGCCTAGGTCACAACAACTCGCTGAGCTGAATGGGCAAGGCCAGATCACGCTGTGTGTGTGGGTGGACAGCACTCAGATATATCAGAGCTTGTGGATTACACAACATCAGTAATAACATTACTAATGCAGGCAGTAGTTCAGACTACTCTTCAATCCGCTTGAGTGTCGGCCAGAGATACAAATACAGAGATATGTAATTGAACGCTGTACGCTCTTGATCCGATGAGACTTTTGGGGCATATCCACTTCTTAGGTGATTTCTTTTTCCTCACAGGTTGCTCAGTTTTGTTGTTTGTATGTGGTGTGGTCTTTACTGCATGTTAATGTTTCTGGAATGGTTCATCATGCATTAAATAACATTAATGAGCAGGGCATTTGTTACATTATTTATTAATCTCTGTTAGTGTTAGTATAGAAGCGTTTTTCTTGTTAACCAATTAATTAGTAATGTTAACAAATGGAACCTTCTTGTATAGTGTTACCGGTTTATATATATATGTATATACGTGGCTCTCTGTGATTGATTGGTCAGTCGCATCAATCATGGGTTTGTATCTGTATAATCAAATTCAGTCGATTATATATAATGTTTTTATTTATTTATCTTTTTTGACCATTTTTTGTACATTGCAATGGACTATTTTTAGTGTAAGCTTTCAGATAATATACAGGGGAAAATATAAATAATTTACACTCAAATCAATACGTCATGTCCACATTTTTTTTTATTTGTGTAGTAACCTTGTAAGCGGGATAAACTTTTTTTTAAATTTATTTTGAGATAGTGGCCGGCTTTTTTTACATTTATCGCGTATATTTTTAGCATTGATAGTGGTATTGAGTCTTGTATTATTAAGTGACAGTTATCTGAATTTCCCCTTGGCATTATTAAAAGTACTTCAATATTTTGGATTTCTTCAGTCATTTCCATTTACGTGCAGTGCCTCAGTTCTCCGTCTCCTTCTCTAATATATGACTTGGTTTTCTCTCCTTCTCCATATCTTCATTAAATGTTGATGGGGATGAGTGAAACCAATAATCCTCAGACCTCACTGCAAAAAACATAGCTGAAAATCAATAGGTTTGCAGCAGTGTGGGAAGAGAAAGAGAGAGAAAACTCTCTCCTATCAAATATTAATCATTCATTTCCTCAAGGGAATTAGGAGAGTGCTGGTGATCTGCTGTCTGACCCAATTAAGATCCTCCTGCATATCTCACTTAGGTTCACTATTACTTCCAGCTTTGGTTATATTGTCAATAGGTATATGCTATATAGATTGAGTGACAACAAAGAGCAATGGATGCTGGGAGAACACTGGTACCACACTTTGGTACCTTTAAAAAAAGGGTAAGCCAGCGTCTTTTTGACGCTTTAGCTGGAGCTCCTAACACATGAAAGCTCGGAGCATTTCAATTGAAAATTTCTCCCATATCCTCAGGGTTAGAGATGTATTGTCCTGTGTTCTGTTTTAAAAAGGAAGCATAGAAGTATACTTTTTATAATCAATTTGCAAATAACAGAGAAACCCTCAAATCTAGCAGTGGTAGCACTGAAGGCTTTTGTGTGTGTTTTTCCTCAGGTCTGTAAAGGATGAAAGCCATTCAATGTCACCATGCTGGTCTGTTGATGAACCTGTCCATTTCTTTAGAAGAAATCTGTTTTGTATTTGAGCATTTGGAAATAAATGAACCATAACAGGCTTGAAGGCTTGTCAACCTGAAATGAGAAAATACGTTTCTTTTTATTCTTGGGCTGTTACATCTTGAAGGTTATTGTTTTGTGCATTATGCTCAGATTCCCCACGCTAACATTACTGAATATCATTTTTAGTTTGAGTTTAAATGAATTTTGAATGAATTATTTTGCAGCCTGACACATTTCTGTAGGTGCCGACTCTATATTCTTTACAAATGTTTTATCTCATCTTCATCTCCTCAAGTCTTTAAATGAGGGTCAAAACGGTGACTGATATTGTTATATTGTTGTGTGTCTCTATTTGTTCTAGTGCTTGTTCCCAGTCCATGTTCTGCTGCTGCCACGAGGAAGTGCAGCTCCATCTATAAAGGGTTTGCCCACTGTCTGCTTGCCCTGGGAGACAGTCTCTCTGTCAGTACCCAAAAAGATGAGGATACGCAGGAGATCGACTCCATTTGCAAGTAAGGTCAAACCCTGCTCCAACACAAACAAGCATGAATGTTCTGTACATTTGAAAGAAATTAATACATTTTTTAGCAATTAAGCAATAAATTGATCAATCGTGACAGTAAAGACTTTTAAATTGTTACAAAAATTAAAGTGTATCATGGTTTCCACAAAAATATTAAGCACCACAACAGTTTTTAACATTGATAATAAGAAATGTTTCTTGAGCAGCAAATCAGCATGTTAGAATGATTTCTGAAGGATCAGTCTTGAGTAATTCTGAAAATTCAGCTTTTCCTCACAGAAATAAATTAGATTTTAAAATATATTTTAAATTGCAACAATATTTTGACAATACTGTTTTTACTGTATTTTTGATCAAGTAAATCCAGCTTTGTTGAGCATAAAAATCTTTCTGACCCCAAACTTTTGAACAGTAGTGTACACGTGAATACATTCATATTTTTTATTATTTTATTATTATTTCTTTTGGCTTTCATCTTGTGACAAAAACATGATCATTTTTTTAAAATTGATAATCAATTTGTATGTTTTTCCCCCTGAATCACATTTTTATCATTTTAGTCTTTTGTAACATCCCTTTAACTAACAAAAAAAGCCTTAATGACATCAACTGCTATGAAGTGACAGCATTTTGTTGGTTAAACAACAACACATGATTTAGTATTAATAGTTGATTTGATCAATTATGTGATGTTTTGTGATTTCATGAATTATAACTAACTCTCAAAGGCAAAGCTCTTTATTTCCATCAGATTAGATTCCATTATGTTCATTTTCTTCCCATTGTGTAAAAAATGAAGTTATATTTGATAACATTTGAGTCTCTGAGCTTCTCCAGAGCATTTTTCTGAAAGTCTGGCATACCTTTATATATACATATATATATACAGAGAGAGAGAGAGACACTGTAAAAAAAAAAATCTGTCGTTTACAGTTTAAAACTGTAATTTACACACAAAAGAAAACATTTTACACTGGTAAATCCAACAGTCCATTTATTGCTTTTAACATATACTGACATCCGCCATAATAAATTCATCACAAATAGCTTTTCCGCAGGTTGACCCTGATGTACATAACAGATAACAAAAAAATAATAAGAGGAAACATAATTAATACAATTAAAACCCATCAAATGTGAAGTGTCACACAGGGAATTGAATGTCAGTTTACGGCTTTTCACTGTAAATTATAAGATGATTTGTTCTTTTTACTTCAAAAAAAAAATGCTAAAACAGTATTTTACTGTAAAATGACACGAAATGCAAGGTTAGATATATGACCATTTATCTCTGTATATAGCACAAGAACTTACTTGTTCATATTTTTTAAAAGTGACTAAGGTCAAAAGGTCAGGCTGAACAGAAATGACCCAGCAGCACATTAACTTTCTGTATAGCCACATAAAATGCCTCACGCTCAGAGCACAGGAGTATTCGCTGTACGCCGTCCATTGTGTTGTCCCAGGGAGAATGTGATATAAAGTATCCCAGTTCACTGATATGACACCTCATTCATTCTCTAACTCCCTGCATTGCCTTTCATCTCATTTTCTGCTGCTCCCTTCCACGCTTTTCTCCATTTCTTCCTCTGCTCACTCATCTTTCTCCTCCTCCCTGGATATTCTAATTAAAGACTCTCTCTCTCTATTTCCCTGTCTGTCTCTTTCCGTCTGCCCCTCCATAGATCATCCATCTATGATATGTCTTTATTTTGTGCCACACCCTGTAGCTGCAGGAACTCTTTAAGTATTCATTGTGTAGCAGCATGATGTTGTTCAGAACAGCCCCCTGTATATCCTCCAGTCAGACTCAATCCGTTACACTTCGCACGTTTACGCCACTCACTGAATGAATGGTGATCTATGCGACAGCATTATATGGTCCTGCATTCAGCATTCAAGGCATACACAAGCAGGAAATGAGGAGAGTGCTTTCTTTAACACAGCTATTTAAGTCTTATTCCTCCAGGTACCAATTAATCCTGCCCCTGAGCTCAGCGATCGCGTGCACACACACATGCTTAAACACAGGTACGCACGCACACATTCACACGCAGGTTCGCAGGAAGTGTGTCTGATCATTTGTCAGGGGATCTTTTGCTACAGTAACATTCTTCCACCACCAGACTGCAAAGTGTCAGGCTTAGGCCAACACTGCTCCTGTCTCAGAGATCTGAGAGGGACGTTTAAGAAAAGAATTAGTTGTGAAGGACAGACTTCCACTATGAACTGCACACAATACATCACTGTTTAATATAGGTAACAGTCTCGCTGTGCTTCAGTCCATTTAAGAGCTGGGGTTTTAACATTAAAGGGTGTTTCTTCACTGGGAACTTTTATGTGCCTGGGGTTGTTTTATCAAAACTTAACAGATTTTTTTTATTTATTATTAGGTCACATTTAAACTTGTGAAACTCTTGGGAACTTTTACTTTTTGCCTTTGTAACAGATCTTTTTTTATTATCATATGAAGGTCACATTTAAACTTACTTGTGAAACTCTTGGGAACTTTTACTTTTTGTCTTTGTAACAGATTTTTTTTTTTTAATTATTATTATCATATGAATGTCACATTTAAAATTGTGAAACTCTTGGGAACTTTTATTTGTGTCTTTTAATCGTTTATTTCTGCTATACTTTTCGAATGCCTTTTTTTTCTGTGTAGATTTTTTTACTTTTGTTTCAGACCCAGACTTTCAATGTTAAAATCTAAAGAAAAAAATCCATCTTACAAATATTATTAATATTACAAAAAAAAATAAATCACATTTTAACATCATAATTTAGTTATTTAGTAAAATAATCATAAATCAGTTTACAATTTATTTAGGTGATAGTGATCTACTGTTCTTCAGTTTTTATGTTATTTCTACCATAATCAATAATTTTGACAGAAAGGTTTATCAAAAATTAGTGTGCTTGGTTACCAAGGAGACAACAGTGAAGAGCATGCCTAAAATGAAATATGAGATGTGTACAGAAAATGATGAAAAATCTTGGTAACCATCACTTGTGAACAGAATATTTGTATTAATCTTAGATTAGGCTGTAATTTTGTCTAATTATGGAAAAAAAAAACTTTAAATGTGTTTTTAGGGTACATAATAAAAAAATCATTTCCACCACAATAATTTTCATCACAGAATGATATTGTTGAAAAAAACACAAAATAGTTTGACTATATTGCGTATTCTTGCATCAACCTGTTTTATCTGTTCATCACTATTGCTCTAAAAATCTCTAAAGATTCAACAAATCCTGAAATCCTTGCTTACAAAAAATATACATCAGTTCAGTACTACTATTGCATGCAATTTATTAATTATGGGCATTCATATATCTTGATATGGTCATCTTAGAGTATAGATTAACCAAAAATGTTTTTTTTTTTTTTGCAGAGGTTTTTCTAATCTAAAACAAATAGTGTTTAATACTTGATATTAGGTATGAAATTTCTTAAATTCGTAGCCTGACACTATAGGTTTATGACAGATTAAAAAGCCTGTATCTTACTGTAGTGCTACCTTCTCCTTTATTTTAAACTATAGCTACATGACGGATGTTTCAGGTTTCAGATTTATTTTGATCAAATTCTCACTCACTAGTTTGTAGATTAGGCATTTATTCAGAACGTTTAACCTTACGCGTGTGTCTGTTGCAGATCCTGGGATGATTTTCACGACTGTGCAAATGTGGCCATGGCCGGCTGTCCCGAGGAGGCTGCTACGGTGTGGAAGTCTCTGAGACAAGAGTCCAAAAAGATGCAGTTTTCTGGAAACCTGTATGAGATGTGCTCCAGTCGTAGCCAATCCCAGAGCCCCGATGAGACCAATCAGGAGTCGTTAAAGGGACGCGCTAGTCATAAAAGTCTGACCTTTCTGACCTTCTGTTTGCCTGTGCTACTACTGTTTCCATGGATATAATCACATCTCAAGACTCACCTCAGAGTTCAAATATCCAGCACATATAGACAACGATACTGACTGCTTTTGTTCTGACATTTTCATACAGATCTCATGTAGTACGATAAGATTCATTTTATGCTTCAAATGAGGCCGTTCGGAACAAAAAAGAATGTCATTTCCACACAAAGGACACGTTTTCAGGTCCAAGCGCTTACTTTTATTATTCATTTATTGTTTAATTATGACGAAAGAAATCTTAAAGCTAGGGTAGGCAATGCTTTTCAAAAACACTTTTTGTTATACTGGTTGAACCTCTCTTCACATCCTGAAAGCAATCAATAATAGAAGTGGTCTAAATGTTAAAACATGTACATATATCTTCTGTAGAAGTCTCAGGACCACAAAATGTCCAAATGCGGTCCGAATGCAATGATAGGATGTTCTACTTTCCTGTCAGCCTATGGGTGTGTCTCAATCAACTCCCTAGTCCAGTAGCCATTTTAAGGGGTTTCTCATTCGCAGAATCCTTCCAGGACACTGAAACGTTCGCTCCCTAAAAAGTCCCACAATGCACCGAACCAGTAAAACAAGGAACCATCGATTCACACTATGTTCCCTTAGCGGAAGTTCTGAAGCGAAACTTAAATCACATGAGCCAACTCACTAAACATAACGACACGCGATATAGATGTTTTCTAAAATACAAACCATTTATTTTATTATATTTCAGCATAAACATACATCGCTAGACAGGTAATAAACACAATCCAGCTAACATTTATAATTTATTTATGGCTGTAATGTTGCATGTAACAAGCTAAATATTTATTATAATGTACTTTAAATAACATTACAAGTTATGCCAGAAAGATATATTATTGTTCATAAATACCAGTAGTGATGTTGTACAATGAGGACGTTGCCTCATTGTACATAGAGTCATCAGTGTCTAAATGTGTAGTGAGCCAGTGTCCTTTACAAGCTCGGGAGCTGATTGAGACGCACCTTCTGTATTTGCGTACCTCCGTGCACCCTGACATCACACGTTCGGTGAGGCTAGTTTCAGGCAAAGTCTTTGGTTGTAGACCAACAGACAGTCACCAAGCGCCGCAAACAAACAGAAGCCCCCTTTTACCGTTCCTGCTGAACCAAAACAACGAGCTTATTCACGCCATGTCGTAATTACCATAATTAAGAGATTGCAACCTGTGACGTTCATACTCAAACACTATTAACACCGAAATGAATCTGCAGCAGTCAGGTGGTACAAGTCAGAGCTCTTTAAGTTATCTATGTTCATTGTAATGTTAAGTACTTTGAGACATGAGGTAATTTAACGCCGTCTCTCGTGACGTTTAGCATACTATGCTCTGGCTGCGCATGTGTTTTGGAGGAGGCGTGGCTTTAGAGACGCTCTGAAGGGAGGGTGGGATCTTATGCTTTCAAAGCTAGCTTGCTAATGCTAGCCTCTCCGAAATTGCCTACCTTAATTTTAAAATAGCAAACTTAATTTTAAGCACAATCATGGCACAATTCAAATGTCCATAGGAGGACCAAAATGCACCTCAAATGACTCCAGGCCTGATGAGGACAAATGGCGAAAGACATTTCCAAACATTTGAACCTTCATCTAAGAGGATATAAAATGAAGGTATACTGCAATACATTATTACATTTGTGAGATGAGTATCAAAGCAATGTAAAGAGCCCTAAAAAAGTTATTATTTCACTCTGTTGTGTAATCTTCTTTTATAGGATCCTAAGAGGATTAAGTTTAAGGATTACACCAAATAAAAGTAAATTCAAGCAACACTGCTTACCTGGGCTTTGCCTGGGAACAGTCTGTTGTCTGAATGCCTTTGGGTGACGGTTTAAACCCAATTTATTATTGACGGGTTCATTGATTCAGTTTAACGAATAGCACAGCATTATGCTTCAAGGTGTTTTTGTACTAGTCTGTATCTGTATGGAACTGCTGTTTATTTGATTTTGGTCAGAGTACTGTGTATACATTGTACAGTCTTACATTATACATTACTCACGGCTACTTTTTAATTTTTTCGGGTATATGTATTTGTAATGTCACTTAATGATGGATTAGCTTTAAAAAAACACTTCATGATGGGAAATACATTGTAAATATGACCGATATGCTGTAAAGAAGAGCTTAGTCGAATGAATATATTATATGAAACACATTATCCTTAAGTGCATAATGAACAGATGAGGTAAATCAATGGAGGTGAACCCATTAGCATCAATAAGATCAAATGAATATCAGCATACAGTGTGTTTCTGTGTATACATGACTTTGTGTGTGAAGCGATGGAGGTTTTTCCCCGGATCAGCTTTCATACCTCCACTCAACTCTGCTCCGCTCAGCGGATTCCTCAGTCAATGTGATTTATGTTTAATTTTTAGGCTTAATTGGCAATCAATCATGTTTGCCAATGCAGTGAACTTATTAAAGAGGGCAAAAGCCATTTATGTAGTCTGAGAAAACAACAAACATTTTAATAGGGGAGGATTGCCATTGCTTTTTGTGTGGTAAACTGACTAACACATGCTTTTCATTGTAGTACAATCTAATGAAAATGTCTAAATAATATAGTAAGGGCTAATATGTACAGATGTTATGTGTACATCACTCCTTGCTACATAGTTCTCATTAATGCCTCCCTTATTTATAATCTTTGGCCGTTATAAAATATTTGGAGGCAGATATAATTTGCTTGGCAGATGCATTTTATGAATCGCATGTTGACAAAAATAAGTGTTTTCTCCTTTTATTTTAAAATCTGATTATATATTGCTGATCGCTCACTCATTTTAAGCTGTGCCCTGCTTATACAAAAAAAAAAGATTAAAAAAACTATTAATTGTCTTTTAAAAAAATTATCTCACATTGTTGAAGGTGTCTGAAAGAGAAATGTTTCTGTCTGTCTATAATTATTTGCTACATACCAGTATATTCTATACATTATATAAATAAAACTATTGCTATTAGGCCCTACATAATTAAAAGGTGCTGGTCAACCTGAAAGTAACTGACAGTAACTTTCCCCTGCTTTATACTATAAGACAGGTACTTTTTACAACTATATCTGAGGGCTCTCCAGCAGAATGTGTGTAAATCTCTCGTTCTCACCTTGGATGGCATTTTTTATTCCTTTGCCTCTTCCAGATATTAATATTTCATGTGTCACAGATGCCTCTGTAAACAGACACACCTTCAGTTAGAGATTACCTCCCAACACAGCTGAATCCTTCTTACTCTAAACGGTGCTATGAGAACAACCATTTTTATGGGTATAACTTTTCTCTTGAAATCATGAATTCTGTTTTCTTGTATGAGAACATGGAAATCAGTGTAATTCAGTTTATTGGTGGTTCAATATCCTTTTGCCCTTGTGTTGTTGTAAGGCAGCTAGAATACTTATCGATGTGTACTCTGTGGTGTGCTGATGATATATGGTAATCCAGTAACAGTTTAAAGAGTTATGATAATGCGCCATGGTTTTATTGCTCGTAATGTATTATGTTTATGTGGGCGTTTTAATTACAAGAGCGCTAACTATTTCTCTGCTTCCTTTAGGTAAATTTTAATTAGGCTATCTGTGGCAGGATACATAAGAATAGCTTTAGAAAAATCTCTCTAAACATACGTTTTTGGAAAATGCGGCTCAAAGAGATAGTCCACCCAAAAATGAAATTCTTTCATAATTTACTCACCCTCATGTTCTTCCAAACATGTATGCATTTCTTTCTTCTGTGAAACACTAAAGAAGATATTTTAAAGAATGTTGGTAACCAAACAGTTTCAGTTTCCCATTGTATTTTTGTCTATAGTCAAGTCAAGTCACCTTTATTTATATACCGCTTTTTTGTAGCATTATTCTCCTGTTATCACTGTAAAGCTGCTTTGAATAATGCTACAATTTTTTTTTAAGCTGTAGCTCTAGAAGAAAATAGTGTCATTGTCCAGCTTAATTGTCCAGATTAATTTCGGTTGTTCGTTTTTTTAATTAATTAAAATAATTTATCTACAGCAGCTCTGGAGAAAACTGTCCACCTCAGTTCAGTTCTCATACAATGGTGTCAGTGCAGTCAGATCAATAATATTGTTGAATATTAAGTGTCCCCAACTAAGCAACTCAGAGGCGACAGTGGCAAGGAACCCGAACTCCACAAGTTGCTGTGTAAACGGGACATCTTTTCGAGACTCACACCTGTAAGTAAATGCTGTTGTCAATCCTAAAAACTGCCAGTGTTAAAGTCCCCATGAATTCAAAATTGACCATACTTACTTTGTTTGCCTAAATTGATCGTTTTGTGGTGAACAATTCATCCATGCAAGTCAATCCACACAAAACATTTTTTTGGCTTCGTAATCTTTAATCAAAATCTGAAATTTCCCCTCCCCTCTACATTGGAGGACCTTCCCTGATGATGTAGGTTTAACGGTTTGGGCGTCTTCTTAAACATCCGTAACCACGCCCCTCCAACTGACAGTAGACAGGCTGAATGACAACACCTACTTTTCTAGATCCAATCAGGTGCTAGTTGGAAAAAAAGCCACGCCCACTAGTTTGCCTCATTTAGTATTTCGTTTATCTCGGAAATACGTCACAACACTGGAGAAAAGTCGTTTGCAACTTCCGGTTCACGGGGACTTTAAGTCGCCAGTGCGAAACTGCGAACCAAAAGTGTTTGGTTACCAACATTCTTCAAAAAAAAAAAAAAAAATTATATATATATATATATTTATATATTTACATTCCACGGAAGAAAGAAAGTCCTACAAGTTTGGAACGACATAAAGATGAGTAAATTATGACAGAATTTTCATTTTTGGATGGACTATCCCTTTAAGATGGTAAATCGTTTCTCATAGAACCAGCAACAAAATTAGTTTTGGAAAGGCACAAGGGTGAGTAAACAAGTTTTTACTGTTATTGTTAGGCGAACTGTCCCTTTAAGCTTGATTTTCCGAAACAAGACTAACTAATGAACCTCAAAAATAATTTGATTATAAAACACAACGTGATCACATTGTAATGCATACTTATATGATGCCATTCAGTACGATTTTGTGACTGGAAACCAAAGCATTCACATCTCAATGGTGTTGT